CTATACTAGCCACTACTCTTATCTGGACCTGACTACTTACTGAAATGAACAGGTAGGAATTTTTTTTTTTTTACCTAAGGGTGTCATGAACCAAATACCAAGACCCTAAGGCATTAAGAACTAACAGAGTCTGTGACCTTAATCTTTGGCATTCCTTTCAAAAGGGTTTTGTGTGTGTGGTTTTTTTGGGGGGCTGGGGGGGTGGGGATTTAGTTGAGAAACTGGAGGAGAGATTAACCCACAGAATGACCTCCAGTATCTAATAACTCTTATCTATTTGGGAAAGTATATGTCTGGCTAGTAATATGTATACTGTTTTAGAGGGGAAAAAGCACACTTATTTTGTGCCAACAAGCGCCCCAGTATCTTTCCACAGAGGTCACCCTGGGACTATTCAGCTTGGGAGAAAAGCCATCTGGCCTAATACTTGATAGGAAGTGAAAGACACAACCTGTTATTTTGTCTGAGAAGATTCAAAAAAACCATGTGGACAAGTGATAAGCATACATTATTACACACTATGAAGATCTTAATATAGCTACGGACACCAGGGAAAATGATAAAACTAGATCATTCCAATCCCATTTAGAAACTCAGAGTAAGACTCCAGTATATATGTGTATTAACTCCTTTACTTCTATTAAAACAATCTTTAAACATGAAGAACCCTGCCTCAAAAAAAAAAAAAAAAGAAAGAAAGAAAGAAAAGAACAAGAAATCTGTTTTCCAGCTCTAGAACTGCAGATGAGTATCCACCCAAAGGAAGCCGCACTGCTTTAGAAATGGCTGGCTCAGGTCTGGGACAGGCAGCGTGCACGGTGAAGGCGAAGTGCCTTGTCACTCATACCAAACAGCAAGGCGGCTGTCAAAGACGGTGTCAGAAGATCTGGGCACCAACCTAAAGAGGCTCCAACTGAGCACAAATAAGTGTATTAACTAGAATGTACTGGCTTTTTAGAGAAAACTTTTATACCTTTATTCTGATAAATAAATAGAACAAAAACAAGTATATTTATCCACATCACAAATACCATGGGGTAACCAAATAGTATAGGAGGGAAATCTCCTTATAGAAATATTCCAGCTAATAAATGAAAAAGGAATGACAGGAAGTCATCATAATGTGACCCCCAACGAATCAATGAATCTAGGCATTAGGTAGCAATGGCTGCGGTCATCCCAGAAAGAGAATCAACCAGATATTATCTGCCTCCTGGTGGAAGAACAAATAATCGACTGTGAAGTAATCTTGAAAAAAAAGTGAGAATATGGGAACATAAATATGGGAAGCTTCAAGATCTAATTTACCGGAAATACAAAGGACTACAATCATAAAAATTTGGTCTGTGGGACAAACTAGTTTCTTTAACCAAAAATTATAGCAACTTAAAATACATACAGGAGCAGGCAAAGTAGGTTTATAGTTGTTCATATGGAAAATAATACAATTATTAGTGAATAATAATACAAAAATAAACTGTATGGCATACTCACAACTGTAAACCTACTTTAGCCAACCCCTGTATTGCTCCACAGATCCTGTTTCAAATAAACTACTAGAAAAATTATGACATTTATGAAACACTTGGAAACCTGAGCACTTACTGCACATTTTATATTAATAATTTTATATATAAGTATGCTTTTTAAATAATCACAATACCATTATGTTTTTTGTTTTTTGTTTTTTTAATTTAAATGCTGTCAGAAAGCTGAGACTTCAAGTTGGTGATCTATCCCTGTGTTTCGGAACGAACTATCCATGCAACTGAGTTGTGAGAAATGATAAATCTCTCTTTCCCAAGAATACCATTCTTCAGAAAAAGGAAAAAAAAAAAAAGGCTCACTGGGAAATGTGACAAAGTAGTAACATCATCAGCAGCAACTCAAGTCTCCTTATCTTAAAAATGGCAAGTTGATACAGAATGACTGAGGAGATAACGACCAGCAACTACAGTCAGGTAACCTCCTGGTATCTTCTGTCGGCACAATGGCAAACAGCCCGGCTGGCACTAGGTCCCTCGTCCCAAATCCTAGCTACTACAAACTCCTGCCAAGCTGGAACCCTTTCTGAAGAAAAGAGGCCTATTATTAGAAGAGCTGGGATATCCCATTAAAAAGTACAACTATTCTGAGTTTATGTTAGCCTAAATAAAACTTAGCTGTTACTCCATACTTAATTTTGAATCTTTCAAAGGGAGAAAAATATTTCCTGTACAAAGTTAGTTAGATGTATTTTAGGGACTTTTTACAAATTTCAGAGTTTCCTTTGATTTGAAATGCACTGCACCCTGGGAGGAGAGGTGGGAAAGGTGAAGGGACTAAGAGGTGCAAACTGGTTGTTACGGGACAGTGGGGATGGGCAGTGCAGCAAGGGAAAGCAGTTGACAGTATTCCGGCAGCTATGTGTGATGTCAGGTGTGTGCGGGGTTTTCAGGATGATCACTTGGTGGGTTCTGTGGTGTCTGGTCACCGAGGTGTACACCTGAAACTAGTATTGTATGTCAACTGTAACCGAAAAATAAATAACGATTATAAAAAATAAAACAAAGTGTATTACACAATGTGTATCTTTTTAGCTCTTCCCCTTTGCTTCTATTAAAAACAAAACTCTTAAGAAAGTACTGTAAAAAAACCACCATCAAAGGTATAGCAAAGCAAATACATGCAAAATGGACATTACCTTTTCTGAGAAACTTCTAAAATATTGTAGCCTTATGAGTCCTACATATCATGATATTTAGGGTAAGGTTCTGGCATATCTTGCTTGTTTATTAACTTTATGGCTCTTCACACTCAAAAATCTCAAACTTTGTTTAGACTTTTCATGGGTTAAACAGGACAATAAATGTACACAGATTTTAAGAAAGAAACATAGAGATAACTAAATACCCAGAAATTGAGAAGGAAAAAATTCTTTAATAGTTGTATCAAATTTTTAATAATTTTGAAGTAACTTCCTTAAAGAGACTTACTGACACAAGCAAACTTCTTTCAAGGGCCGAGCAGACTCGTGTTCACTGTAATCAGCGCACAGAGCTCTGCAGACCTGACCAGGGCTCCTCGGCACCTGAGCATGCTGGGCTCTGGGCCTCTGATCACGGCCCAGGCTCTTCTAAAACCACTGCCCATGTACTTGGTTCAACTTAACAAATGTTTGGTGAGCACTTAGGAAAACCATTCATGTATAACATACTTTCCCTCAGAAACCCTAGAGAGTTCTCAATAATATCAGCTTGCATCTATCTATCTACCTACCTATCAATAGATTATTCCTATCTATTGCTGTATTTAGCAATAGATATGCTTCTTTATTACAACATTAAATATCAAACTCCAGCAGTGACACTAATGATTACAATTTCAAGCATTGATGAGCATAAACAATATTTCCAGATATCTGCAACAACTTTGTATCAGAAAATATTTTTGATTTCTGTTGATGACAAAGTCCTTATGTCAAAATTACACATCACATGTATGCAGTTAGGCAGTGCAATGGGGAATGGAATGGGCCACACAAAATCAAGTAGCGGCATTAGGGCAGTGCGGACATTTTCTGTTTCTGAATTATAGGAGGATCTAACATTTAATTTGGAAGGAAAATACATTTTTTATTTTCATTATCTCCTAATGAAACTATATATTTAATACAAAGTTTGAAGTTCTTTTATTCCAAGTTTATACACAGGGAAATAAAGGTGAGGACAGGTGAAATTATTTCAGTAAGGTCGCAGAGTGAACAAGTCCCCAGAACTTAAAACACAAAGCAAAATATAAACCTCTGTCCTAGTTTAGATCTGACACACTATTGGTATTTACCCTGCAGCTGTCCTGTCCATTCTATCCCCTGCAGTAGTGTCCATGTTCACTCATCCCACACACTCATCCCCATCCTTTTCACAGTCATTTCTTGAGCAGGTGGGTCCCCGTGGAGGGCACTGCGTCAGGCTGTGCTGAATGCGAAGGTGGTGGGCACACGGGGAGGTTAGTACCTGGTGGACTTACACTTTTATATCACCACAAGCCAGACAGTTTTAAATAATTTATGTGAAGTAAAAATGATTTCTAGGACTCTTCCAGTGAAGACATGTTTTCCAAAATCATGTTTGAAGCTTAAAAATTTTAAGCATGGTGCCCTGGCTGGTGTAGCTCAGTGGATTGAGCACGGGCCTGTGAAGCAAAGGGTTGCCGGTTCAATTCCCAGTGAGGGCACATGCCTGGGTTGCAGGCCAGGTCCCCAGTGGGGGCCATGTAAGAGGCAACCACACATTGATGTTTCTCTCCCACTCTTTCTCCTTCCCTTCCCCTCTCTCTAAAAATAAATAAAATATTTTTAAAAAATTTTAAGCATGAACAACTAGTTATACAACAGAGATCATCTAAATCCTCTTGCTAAGGTTTTCATATGCAGGGCAAGTTTTAAAGACAAACCTCTATCATTCTTATTTCTCTACCTGTAATATCACATTTCTAGGTTTAATTTCACATGTCAAGTGAGATAGTATACTATTCAAAATTACATACAATGGTTTAGTAATTCAGGTTTATGATACATAAATATGAAGAAGGTAAATCTATTTTCTATCTGTAAAAGTTTTTAAAATAAACCAGACGTTGAGCCATCTGGATTTCAATAAACTTTGAGGAAAATGAAACATATTTCATTCAACTACAAATCCCCTGGTGCCTAAGCAATTCCTGAGTATGTTTCAACAACACTGAAAACACAGTCAACAGCCCTGACTGGTGTGGCTCATTTGGGCAACGTCCCGCAAAGGGAAAAGACTGCCAGTGTTGATTCCCAGTCAGGGCACATGCCTGGGTTACAAGTACTGTCCCTGGTCAGGGAGCATACAAAAAGTTTCCCTCCCTCCCTTCCCCTCTCTCTAAAAAATAATAGAATCTTAGAAAGAAAAAAGTAGACAACAGTAGAAACATTCAGGAGCCATCGCAGAGCCAATGTGGGGAGACCTCCACAATGAGTGACTGGCACCTACCGTAGTGTCATTGCTGGTAACATACACAAGGACATCGGAGGAGTTCCTGCCATTGATATATCGGTAGCAGTTCCAAACACAGCTAATCAGGTAACCCTGAAAGTGAGTAGTGATTATTAGATCTTTGGTTTTCAAACTTCAGAAAATTTCAAATATCAGCATTAATAAATCCATTTACAAAAGTTTTATTCACATAAATTATAAATATAGTGACTCTAACTGGGTACAGTAACTTTCTGGCAAAGGGTGCTACTCTAGCCCTATTCTATCACACTACCCCAGAAGGTGATAAAGGTGGGAGGGGAGGGCTGAAAGCAGAATAAGAAATTCTAAGAAAAGGTAGTAGCAATTGCCAAACACATTTATTGCTCCAAAATTTACACAATAATTAAGCTATTTCTCACCACATTTTAAACTCTGTGTCTTTGGGATTTTTTAATTCTACATGATTATCTATGATTTTATTAACAAGTCAATTTTTATAAAATGGATTACAGCCCCAGCTGGTGTAGCTCAGTAGACTGAGTGCAGGCTTGCAAACCAAAAAGTCACTGGTTTGACTCCCAGTCAGGGCACATGCCTGGGTTGCGGTCCCCACTAAAGGGGGACACGAGAGGCAACCACACATTAATGTTTCTCTCCTTCTCTTTCTCCCTCCCTCCCTCTCTCTAAAAATAAATAACTTAAAAATGGATTACAGCAGGTACATTTGTTAAACAGTCAATGATATTTATTAAAGCATTTCCATTTTTACAATAAAATATCCAAAGATGATATTCAAATTAATGTCCAGAATAATACATTTTAGAAATAAAGCATGAGTTTATGGGAGACATTTGAACTACGAACTCTTTGCACTTTTATTTCAATCATCTGCAACTGGGTTAGAACTAAATGATTTCAAAATTCCTTTCTAGCTTTAAAATTCTTTAATTAAAAGAAGTTTAAAAATATGGAGAAAGGGAAATCCTCATACATTGCCAGTGCAAATGCAAAATGGTGCAGCCACTTTGGAAAACAGTTCCTCAACAGGTTAAGCAGAGTCACCATATAACTCAGTGATTCCAGTCTTAGGTGCATGCCCAAGAGAAATGAAAACATATGTCCACACAAAAACCACATGAATGTTCATAGTAGCATATTCACAATACCAAACAAGTGGAAGCAGGACAAATGACAATCACCTGATGGATGGATAGACAAAATGTGGTGTATCCATACAGTGGCATATTATTCAGAAATAAAGAAATCCTGATATATGCTACATAGAACATGCATGAACCTGGAAAACATCATTCTAAGAGAAAGAAACTAGTCACAAAGGACCACATATATGATTCCATTTATGTGAAATATTCAAAATAGGCAAACCTACAGAGACAAAGGAGATTAGTGGTTGTCTGAAGTAGGGGTTGGGGTAAAGGTGAATGACACATGATAAAAATGTTTTAAAATTATACTGTGTAAGCACAAAGCTGTGATTATACAATTCTAGGAATATACTACAAACCCCTGAATTATATACTTTAAATGGGGAAATTTTATAGTATTGAACTACATCTCAATAAAGTTGTTTTACAAAAAAGACATTTAAGGACAAAAGGAGTGCCTGTCAGCACTTTACTGGAGTGAGGTAAAATATTCTGTCACACTCTGCTGAGAACACTATCTTAAGCTGCATGCATATTTGGTCATTACTTCTCACATTAAGTAAGATGAAAATGTATAATGCTACCTTATAAAAATGTTTCCTGAACAGCAATAATCTCAAGCTATTAACAATGAAAAAGAAAGAGATGGAAAGGGCATATTTCTTGACCAATGCACACAATATATTTAATTTACTGAAACCTTCAGTTTACTCAATCTTTATTGAGAAAAAAGGCCCCACTTTTTGAGAATTTCAATACAAATAAAAAAAGAATGTATAACATATTACTTATGTGTTATATCACATGACTAGTCACCCATTAAACAATCTTTAAGAACTCTTCCTGAACGGAGGTCTCTGAAGTGACAAATCTGTACCGGACGGGCTAACCAGCAGAGGGGAAGTGCCTGGGGTCTGGGACTTCACAAGCCCACAGTCCGCACTCATGAAACACTCCAACAAGAGGAAAACCTCTGGCCTGCCATCTCTAAAAACACAGTGACTTATTTCAGTGACTATTTCCTATCTGACATTTCTGTAACCTGCTAAAGAGAATTTAGTGTATTTCCCAAATTAGCTTGCATTGACAAATCATGCCCATCATGTACTCGCAGAGCTAGGAGGTAAGCACAGCTTCCTTTGCTGTCTTTGGAAGGAGAGGAACTGACACATGTCCTGGTTTTGACCCGCAGGGAGCCGGCATGCTGATAAACCTTATCGATGAGTAACAGCAAATTTAGGTTGTGAAAGCCACTAATGGGGGTACACTCATATGTGAAAACACAACAAATATATCCATATTTTTTTAAACTAGTAGTTACTGAGTCCCCATATGTGAGGTATCAGCTTAGTACTAAGAGGGCTATAAAAATGAAGGTATAGCCCTGGCTGGTGTGGCTTAGTGACTGAATGCTGGCCTGTGAATCAAAGGGTTGCAAATTTGATTCCCAGTCAGGGCACACACCTGGGTTGCAGGCCAGGTCCCCAGTAGGGGGAGTGCAAGAGGCAAACATACACTGATGCTTCTCTCCCTTCCCCTCTCTAAAAAATAAATAAAATCTTTTAAAAATAAATAAATAAAATTAAAAAGAAGTATCGTCTATGTTCTCAAGGAAATGAAATCTAGTTAAGTAGAGGAGATACGTAAATAAATGAATATTAAAACAAGTACACATTTCTCACGACTTGGAAATAAGAGTTATGGACCATTTGCACGATGTCTTTTCATTATGATAATTAACACTGTTTTGAAATTTATAAAAGCACCACAGTAAATTTTTTATTTACTACCAAACCTCAGTACTTTAAAATAGGGCTGACATAAGGAGACCCTTAATAAATATTTACTCAATAAATGAATGAGCAATGCTTCTTCTTATACATTACACCTCACTTGAATCTCACAGTACCCCTCTACAGAATGTTTTCTTAACTATCACTGCTTTTTAGTAAATGAAGAAACCAAGCCTCTGGTCACAGCTAGAAATGGCAGTGATAGAAGCTAAATCTAGTCCTCTGACTCAAAATCTCAGGTAAGCATTTCCAATACAAATGAAAATGCCTACAGAATTAAATGCCTTTTTAAAGAGCACTGGGAAGTTTCAGCACTCACATATGAGAAGCTCACTTCTGAGCTTCTGGTAATGGCAGAGTAGCTTCATCAGGTGAACCTTCCTATACATAAAAATGATAAAAACTGGCACACACACAAAAACACAATATGAAGACAAGGGAGAGGCAACAAAACCAGGGAAAAGCTAAAGGGGAGTCTTTCCTTCAAAGACAACTATAATAAGTGGGATGGATATGAGAGTCTGTGGCCTCTTGCCAAGGGCTCTGCCAAAGCCACATGCAGCCTGGGCAGTCTGGGGTGGTGCAGGACAGGATCTGGGCTGACAGAGCAGCCAGGAAGCTGGGGTAAAGGGGAGTGGGCACTGCAGAGGTGGGTAAGCCTCAGCATCTGTGCAAAAAACTCACCCAAATCTCTGACCATTAAAATATATATGCAGTATCAATATATTCAGCATGTTTTATGGGGAAAAATGTAGACCCAAATGATTTTTTAAATTTTATTTAGTTATTTTTCTAGACCCAAATGATTTGCAAGGAATCATTTTCTTTGAATGATTCACTTCATCATAGTACCTATTTAAAATAACTTTTCTTCCTGAATGCAGCTTCCTCAAGCTTACTGAGGTTTGATTTTTGAAGATTTGGGTAATTTTACGTCAAAATAAAGACAATGAAAGATTATTAAAAATTAAAAGTTCAGAGTTCAACAACCATTTGAGAATTTTCTACTCAGCAGCACACAAATGTGGGTTCTAATGGTGTTCTTATTATCAGGTTCACGAAGATGAGAAAGGGCAGCCCTCAGCTGCCGAGGGTGAGAGGAAACAGCGCTGACGGGGTGCTACGTCCTTCACCTCGTATGGACATCAACTTGACAACCTATCAAAGCCTTCAAGTTATGCATACCTTCTACTTTTAAAAAATGTATCTTGAGGAAGGCATAAGTATACAGAAGATGTATTTAAATTTACTCACTGCAGCAATATCAGCTGGAAAGGTAAACATTGTCTTAATGTCCAACACTAAGTAATTTATTAGATAATGATAAACTCATACAATAAACTGTTATAGAATGATGTTCAAAATATATTACATTTTAAAAACAAATTACAAACGTTGTAATAAATGCCATAGCATTAATCTATATTACATAATGCATAACATCTCATCAATTTACTCTCATCCTATTAGACTTTCCAACACCCTCAGACTGGCCTGTGGAAATCTAATATGGGTTTATCTCGCCCAAAGATAAGAGAAGGAACAGAACTGTCAGAAAATCAAAAAACAGAGAAGCAAGAGAATGAGCTGACTCAAGTTTGTTCACTTATTTGGCACTACAATTTTCTGGCAGTAAAGAAAATCTTCACTCTTACCTTGAAAGTCAAGATAATGCTGATAAACAGAAGAATAATAAGGACCAAACAGGTAGAATTCACTGACATGATATCATCTCTGTAGGGAAAATCAGGAGGCTGCAAAAGAAAAGCACGTCATTAGCAAATCTCATGAATCATTCAGGATTATATTCCCTAGGCATTAATCAGATATGCCCATGAGAAAACAGTTGAAGCAGAGAGCTACTACAGACCCCCACAAAATTTCTAGCCTACCTCTACTAGTGAAAAGGCTACAAATGGTGTGACAAGGATGGACTGATCTGTTCATAATGCAGGCAACAACTCTTGAAAAGAAAAACTGGAGGAAGATTCATGAATGAGACCTGAAAACATACCTTTGCCTTCCAACTATGCAAAAAGCTAAAACGCAGTCAGTAGTCTTTTTCTTTCTTTTAAAGACTTTATTAATTTTTTTAGAGAGGGGAACGGAGGGAGAAAGAGAGAGAAACATCAGTATGTGAGTGATACTTGATCTGTTGCCTCTCACATGCCCAGCCAGGAACGTGGCCCTGAAACCCAGGCTTGTGTCCTGACTGGGAATCGAACTAATGACCTTTGGTTCACAGGCTAGTGCTCAATCCGCTGGACCACACCAGCTAGGGCTAAAATGCACTAGACTTTCTATACCTCTGATATTTGGATTTCCTGCAAATCCTGAACCATTCTAAAGAGCCTGTGCAAGGCAAGGGGGAGAAACCAATTAAAATAGTGTCTTCTTTATATAGCATTTTGCAGACAGTACTTCTCAAAGAGCAGAATCTCTTATAACAGGAGGTATTTATTGCATTGAAAAAAGATAATCAAATTCTGCCATCTGACCATACTGACTGAACTACCAGGTCAGGGATACCTTTTTAGGACAATCAAAATTGGCTACTGTGGTTAGTGGGAGGGACAGAGCTTTACTACGAAGCACCAGCACAGTGCCGAGCACAGCCTTGCATTCAACTGGCTGAATTAAGTGTGCAGGGAGGAGGCCCAGTGCGCACTGACACCTTTGATCTCTTTTTTATCAGCCAAACTATGCAGTTTGGATTCCACATCAGCAGTATTTTGAGATGCTACAAAGAAGTTCCAAATGTTCAAGAAGAATACAGAGAAAACTCATGACTCATGTGCTTGGCCCCTCCTCCCGGGGTGAGCATCCCTCAGTGATGTTTAGAGTCTCCTTTCACTTTGGGTAAAATATCTGAGAAATAAAATCTAAGTCATTCTTTGTGATCAACTGATCCCTTCCCTTGGAGCCTGGAAGGGTTTTTGAGTACTTATCATAAAGCGTAAGAATAAAACCAATTGCTGTTCACAAGGCCAACATGAAATTCTATTGTTTCTATGTCTAATAATTTTTAAAAAGGGTGGGGATTAAAATGGAAGTATGTGAACCTTTCCATAAAGATCTTCATACTCTCCCCCCCCCAGAAAAGTGAAGATCGTTTCTGTATCCAGCTGAGACCCATAAACATACATGCACAGCTCACTTTAACTGCATTTTATGAGACTCCACATAAACAGAACAAGCATTAGTGGGTGCTTTCCCCCAACCCTTCTCAGATAACAGCCTCTCTGGACTCATTCCATCTCAACCTGTCAACAGGGCCTTAAAATCACTGGCTCTTTAACAATCTTTTCATTACTGTCTCTTAGGCATTGTGATCATCTGCAGCCCTCACTCTTTCAGCCTAAACTGATTTTTAAGTAGAACATACTTACTTGTGATTACAGATAAAAGTAGATGATTTTTAAAAAGAGATTATTAAAGTACTGTCAGCATTACCAATATTATCATTTTACTACTAGCGGCTCTAAATCAAACGAGTACAGTGACTGAACAGTGTGGGGTATATATAATACAAAGTCTAGGTCATATTCTCAGTGCTCTAAGCACTTGCCTACATATTAGGCTCTGTGCTCTCCTACTCATAAATCTCTGCAATATGTGGGCTGTAGCACAGAATATATTCAGCCCCCTCACATGACAGGCGATGCAGAGATAAGGACTTCTCCACTCTTCCAAGGTTGATCCCAGCACCAAGCTATCATTACAGAGCAAAACCACAAGGCTTTAAAGACAGAGGATTCTGTACAATCTGCTGGTCATATACAGTGTGGAGCAAAAGTAGGTTTACAGTTTGTTCATATGGAAAATAATACAGTAAGTACTATACAAGAATAAATTTTGTGTTTCATGTACTCACGACTGTAAACCAATTTTCACTGCACCCTGTACAAATCTCCTCATGCACAAACAGGTATACCACAAGGAATAACATAAATTTAGCACGTGGGAAATACACAAAAATTTTCTTGGCACAATGTTCTACCGAAACATAGACCTGTTTTCCCACAGAGAAGCTATGACTAACAAAAATGGCATCCACAACAACCACCTAGAAGCCACTCTTAAGGAACTAAACACTGGAGGCTTTTCGGTCTAGGGCCGCTGAGAACCAGTTGGTCTGGGCACTACTCCACAAGATCACACACCTCTGCTGCCCCGTTTCCTCCTTTCCCTCCACCCACACATTTCCCCACCGAGCTCTTTAACCTCCATTGTCACATCAAATTCCAGTCTCATCTCTTCCTTCCCAGAACCACCCTGCTCCTTCCCCCATGTTCGGAGACTACTATTAAAATCTCCAGAGTGAACCTTCTCTCCATTTAAAATATTCTAAGATTTTGCAGAAACTGAATTTTAAGACACACTCACAGTTTAAAACACAAAGGTTAAAACTGTAAAGGCACAAGCCTTGGCCAGACAGCTCAGTTGGTTAGAGCATCATCCTGATTCACCAAGGCTGTGGGTTCAATCCCTGGTCAGGGCCCATACAGGAATCAACCAATGAATGCATCAAATGAGAACAACAAGTCAATGTTTCTCTTTAAAAATCAATACATTAAAAAATAGTTTTTTAAACCCTGGCTGGTGTGGCTCAGTGCACTGAGCGTGGGTCTGCGAACCAAAGGACACCGGTTTGGATCCCAGTCAGGGCACATGCCTGGGTTGCAGACCAGTTACTATCAGAGGACACACGAGAGGCAACCATACATTGGTAGTTCTCTCCCTCTCTCCTTCCCTTCTCTTCTAAAGATAAATAAATAAAATCTTAAAAAAAATGTTTAATGTAAAGGCACAAAAGTAGTCTAATGTCACACCCTCCATAAATTTTCTAATACCCAGCTATCAATATTCACACATATAGTAACAAATAACATCAAGAAAAACTAGTCCAAAAACAAAACCCAAAAAGTGCTTGGGGAAGAACGCATTCTGTGGCCAAACAAGTTTGGGATGCAACATACAGTGGAGTTCTACTTTTCCCACACAACAGCAGAGGCAAAAAGCTATCCTTTGCTGATAACTGAGCAAATTACATTTTACAAAAATAAGGCAATTAGTAACTAGTTTAGGTAGGGGCATCTAATATCATTACCACAGCCACCAACTTATCTGAGGAAGTTATGTTTTTTTACAAAAAGCACTCTAAGAAAAAAATCTCACCTTTTAAGATAACATTAAAAAAAATCTCTAATCAGTAACTCAGATAAAAATTTTAAAACCACAAATTAATATGAGTGCATGTCTATGTGAATACCTCTGTGTCCCTTACTTAACCAGAATTCCTGCAGGAAGAGAAGCAGCAGCTGGGGCGGCCACGTACCAGCTGCCGTATGTACTCCTGAATGGAGCTCGGATAAACGAGCACAGTGACGGCGACCAAGGTGTTCAAGGCAAAATCGAAGATCTGGTAACAGAAGAAGGGAATGATCCAGGCAGCATGTTGCTAGACAGAAGAGAAAATATGATGTTAATGTTCAAGTGTTTAAGATTACAGAACATTATTTTTTTTAATTCAGAGAAATCTGTTCTTAACCTACAGGGAAATGTAAGAAGAGCAATTCATTAGACCAGGCCACGATGACAAGGTAAGCCAAACAGAAGGAGCCAAATAAATCTCAGCAAACATGTCTGAGACTGTACTGGTTTTCCTAGTACTACATAATATTAACAAGAGATTGTAACACCCAAAGATTCTATAGAAAACTGAGAATGACTACACCTCACTTCTTTCAGACAATGGTACAGATTATACATGTAAGGAATGGAGGAAAAGGCCCAGCTTATTTTTTTTAAACAGGAAAAAAAATTAAAATTTTAATGCATGCTCATGGGGAATTCAGGCAACACTGGGTATATTACAACATTTTGGACCAAAAGAAAAGAAAAGGGGTGGTGAGGTATTAGGTTTCAGAAGTGAGAATGAGTGATCTAAGGGAGCTGAGGACAAGCGGAATGCGCTTGGCGGGCAAGCTCTCGTTAGACAACTAGGAACAACGGGACACAGTGGGTATCTAGCCGACAGGCCCTGCTTGAAGCCCTCTTATTCACTACACTTAGTCCAAATGAGGCTAGAGCAACACTGTAAGAGTCCCTTTCCAGACCACGTGTTTCTGTCTGAATTTCTTGAAGGCCCAGCTTATTTCAAAGCTGCTTACCTTGTAAGCTCCATAAGTCGCCATTGCACATATGAGGATCATGAGAAGAGAAATTGCAATAGCAATGCACATGTCTGCCAAAGAGTAAAAAAAAAAAAAATGAGTAGATCCATTGTTTAAACTCTTTTTAGTCTTTCCTCAAAGGCATTTTTTGTTTATAAACCAATTATAAGTGAGCACTTCATACTAAGTAAAACACCAGAGTTATTTGGGAATTTAAGATAGTTAAAGAAAATAAAGTGCTCAAAAGATATTCTCCCTAAATCATATAAACACCTATTGATAAGAGACTGACTTACATATAAGTTTATTTCAAAAATGTGAAAGAGATATTGGTTTCAGATACATTTAAACAGCTGGTCATCTGGTCAGCTGAATTATACATCGGTTTGGTTTTTTTTAACATGTAGGATTCTAACTTACATTTTACAAACTCATGTATCTTGTGTCCCTCTTAAAACTTACCTCCACTGGCTTCCCAATAAAACCTCAGTTTCTTAATCATGGCCTTCATGTCTGCTTATTCTAAAGCAGGTCTACTTGCCCAACCTTGTCTGACCTTATCCCACACTTCCTTGCTCACTATAATCCAGCCATACTATTTGGTTCATTTCACACAGCAAGGTCGTCCCACCTTATGGCAATTCCCACTGACTAGAAGAATTGTGCCTCATATTTTCACACAACTAGCTCTGCCTTTTTAACCACACAGGTCTCTCAGCTCAATGTCAACAACTCCAAAAGAGCTTCCCTCCCAGACACTCCCACATAGTACTTTATCTTCTTTGTGGCACCTATCACTATTGTCTTGTCCATATTTGTTGTGCACTGTCCATCTCCCTCTGCTGGAGGAACCTTCCTGAGGGAAAGGACTTTCTGTATCTCCTTCACAACTACAGTCCCAACATTGAGAAGCGGACAGACAGCCAATATAGTAGCTCCTAGCCACATGTGGACAGTGAGCATTTGCAATGAGGTTACTCTGAATTGGGATGTGCTGCTGTATGATTAAAATATACTCCAAATTTCAAGGACTTAATACAAAAAAAAAATCTCATTAATGATTTTAATACTGACTATATGCTGAAATAATATCTTGGATAAATGGTACTGAGTTAAATGAGTTATATTACTAAAGTTAATCTTGCCTGTTTCTTTTTACCTTTTTTAATGTGGCTACTAGAAAATTTACATCTATGCTTAAAGAACATTATTTTTCTGTTTGTTGAACATGCTAGTCTAGAACAATATCTACATCATAGTAGGTACTCACTGAACACTTACTTATTCAAGAGGTCACGCTACCATACCTTTAGGATACTCTGATTAGAGAAGTAGGGTGTGACTGGGTTTCTGAAGCTGACGCGTGGGGTTTTCACTCACACCGAGAGAGCACAAAAACCGTGTAGCAGGGTATCTGCCCAGTGCTGACGGTTTCCACGGCATTCCACAGACATCTCATTTAGTCCTCCCCACTCCGAGGTAGATGTTACTGTTCTCACAGAGCAGATTATGAAACCAGAGCTTGGAGGTTATGTAATTTGTTGAGAGCATTTGCACAAAAGGCTGAACCATGACTAATCCTGCTCTCACGATTTCAGTCTCTGGCTCTGTCTCCTATGCAAACGGCATCTACTTCGGCTTTCAGTAGTGTACCAACCTGGGCTGCCTCTTCCTACAGGTTACTTCTCCGAAAGAAAGTAGTATTCTAGTTTTAGCACCATCCTCTCTGTGTCCTCAGAGCTAAGAGAACACTTTAAGCAGGAGGATTTACAAACAGAAGCACAGGGTGGAAGTACGTTCTAGGACAGCTATGCAAACGTGTCAGCAAAGACCATTTCCACCTCAGAAAAAAAAAGTTCCCTCAAATTGGTCTAGAGAGTTAATGCAGTAAATTTATAAGAATGCTGATGATTTTTATTAGAATGAAATATGATTTTCAAAAAAGAAAAAATATGAAGTTTATATTATAACCTCAGACCAGTAAAAAGACATGATTTCTTTCAGGATACATACATATTGTATAGTTCATTTTAAAATTTCAATGCTAAATTAATTTACCTTTTCCCTCTTGTGAGGAAAGAGGTACTTACAAAAAAATTTTATCTATGCCTCATAGGATTCTTGTAGAGCCAATGGAGGGAATAAATTTGAATGCATTTTAAATGCTTTAAATGCAAAGGGAAAGTCTCCATTTACACACCCAGCTACAGTAAGTGCATACACCCATTCTAGTGCAGTCATTTACATATGAAGCAATGAGGGTACTATATTTTTATTCTTTCATAAAGCTATGGACATAGGAGAATGTACACTGTCTACTTTCTCTTTACTCCATTTTTTTCCTCAGTGAATTAACTATTGTTACTTCATTTAATCCTTATAGCAAACTTATGAGGAAAGTACTGTTATTATATCCTCATTACAGAGAAGATAAAGATGACTAAGAAAAGGCTCGTAACTTGCCCAAGGCTGCCCAGCTAGTAAGTGGTAAATGATATTCTAAAAAGAATTAAGACACCAATAAGCAATTATTATGTCAAAGCCTATTAGAATTTACTGCAATCTCTGAAACTTAAACTCAGGCAGAAGTTTACTACTTGCTTCTATGTCTACTTTTATGATTTCTAAATTCTGTGCAGGCATATTTTATAATGAAAAAGAAAATTAATTTTATGGAAGCCAGCCTATCGTAGGATATTCTCTGACGACCTCACAGATCTTAAAAATAATAAACAAATAAGCAAACTCAAGGAATTATTAAAAAATAAAAATAGTAATAACCTTTATTAAAATGACAAAAATAACAATCTTCATAAGAATTATATTCCTAGACTGAAAATAAAAGATACCCCAGAACTAAATTTCACATAAGCATGAAAAACTTCAAGTATCCACCTTTTTCAAAGAATATAAAATCAAGAATTTTATAAGTACAAATAAAATGAAAGTCATAAAATAAAGTATCATATCACCACTCACACAAGATACTATTTACCATAAAGATGTTAATTTTAAGAGGAAATTTTCAAAGTTCTATTGCTATAAATGATTACACCAACCACACTGAAGAAACTAAATATATCACAAGCATGTGAAATAGCTGAGGTAGAACCAAAGTATAAATTGAATACACACAGAGTAAGTAAGGTAAAATGGGCTACGGTAGCACATTTAACCTCCTGGCACGGCAATTCCTCTGAAATAACGTGTAGCACACCATGGTAAATGAGAGTTACTCTGAAGAATTAAATTTCATTTTTTAATTGTCACAAGCAATTGACGAAATGGGTCTAACAAAAATATAGTGATTTTTGCAACCAGCAATGGTACTCTTCAGTGACAGCAATACCCTTCGCTTACTCTGTGCACGGCAGCTCCATGAGCCGAAGTCAGAGCACACTGACGCCGCACTGTTTCCTCAGCTGAATGCCTGCTCAATAATGCAGTTCACATATGAAAAGGATCCTAAGAAAATCTAGCCTACAGACCACAAGAGGCATAATTAAAAAATGTCTCCTGATACTTGGTCAGTTAACCATTGAAATAGAATAGGAATATAAAGAAGTCCTGAAATGCCTTTGTTTAATAAACAACGTATTTTGAATTCTACTTTCCCTTCTATTTCTTGGATTTGTTTCCTTCCCAAAAAACTTGTAGCTAACTACATAACTTCCTGATTTATGTTCCCACATCCTACTTCTCTAATCATAAGTCATTCTTATGTCTCAATTTTCTGTAATTTTCGGTAACATTTCTGGCACTAAGGATCATGGAAACAAACGGTTTTGGGGGTATATTCTCACCATTAAGTCTAGAGGGTATGATTTTCAGCTAAATTCACAGCAACAGTATGAACTACTCAGACCAAAATACAGAGTCCCAAACCCCACAGGGACAAACAGAAAACTCAAGTTCAAGTCCCCACTCTAGGGTCTCACATTCTGAGGTTAAAAGCTTAGGGAAGAATAAGAAATAAGGCATAATTATATTCCCCTAAAACAGAAGGGAGGTTCTAATATGCTTTCTGAATGTGTATGGTGACTATTTAAAACTTTTTATTTAAGTATATTCATACAGAAGAGTTTTTTGTAACTTGTTAATTTACAACTTTAAGTGTTAAACCCAAAATTTATTTCATGAACATTTAATATTCATGTAACATGAAATATTGTGGCACTACAAAGATTAACAGGATATAGTCTTTGTTCTTAGATGCTTAGCATGTACTCAGAAGAGGGAAAAGAAAATTTCAATTAAGTGGTAACAAATGAAGAGCTAGGGGATTCCAGAGGTGGCAGCAGTATTTTCGGCCAAGAGGAATGCTAAAGATTTTATAAGAGGGTATGGGTATTTGTGCTGGGTCTTATTTTTCCTCATAAAATTATTTTTACTGAGCTAGAATTCACATGCCATAAAATTCACTCTTTTAATCGCTGGTTTCTTTTAGTATATTTACAAAGTTGCATAGCCGTCACCACTAATTACAGAGTATTTTCATTCTCCATCCTCCCCCCTCAAAAAACCCCAAACCCTTAAGCAGCCGCTCCTCTCTCCAGCCCCTGGCAACCACTAATCTACCTTCTGTCTCTATGGGTTTGCCTATTCTATACATTGTATATAAATAAGATCATACAATATGTGGCCTTTTGTCAGGTTTCTTTCGTTTATCATAATATTTTCAAGGTTCATCCATGTTGTAGGACCTAAAAGTTTAAAATAAGCTACAAAAAGTTAGGAAGGATTAGTTAACTAATATACCTAAGTAATAATTAATAACTAAGTAATATAGTTAAATGTCAAACTTAGAGAATCTCTTAATTTCTCATTTTCTAAAATAAAGAAATCAGCTGCCAGCCACACTTTTATACTGACAGATTTATAGTGACAATTATAATTAAGTTGCATAAAGGTCACTTATATAATAGAAAAACCAATAAACAGCATTTAGATTTTTGTGATTATGTTCACTGAAGAACCAAATGTTCAACTAGAACTGAAGAGAAGGAAATAAAATTAATAAAAAAAATATACATGTTCTACACAGACAATTTTGAAAATACTACTATGGAGTGCTTCCCTAAATGGAAAGGCATAAATTGTAATTAGATATTTTTTTAAATTGCATTATCTCTGTAAACTTATGAAAAATCATTGAATTTTCCAATTTAAATAGGCATATTATTGATATATAAACTATACCTTAATAAAGCCATTAAAAATAAAAAGATGTAACTAGTCAAAATACAACACATAAAGATACTACTTCTCCCTAAGATAATCAGTAAAGTCTTACATAGTCAAAATTTACAAGGGGTTTTCCTGAGATCTGAACAAGTTGATGCTAAAGCATAGATATCTGAAAAAGAGACAGCGTTAGCTTTACCTTACCTTATACTACTGACAAAACATACTTGCTGGGAATATGGTGAATCGGCACTGGGCAGGCACTCATTCTGCCTTCTAATGTGTCTTGGGATTCTGCACAAACTAGAAAGCCAAAACCTACATTTTCCAGATTCCCTTGCAGCAGGAAGCAGATTAGGTTTTCTCAATTAGATGCTGACAAAACTAAGACTCTCTTCCTCTGACCAAACACCCTGAACCCTATCCTTGACCCATTTAGTCCAATTTTTGCAAGAATCCTGCTGTCAGTTTATTGAAAAAATCCCCCACCCTTGGTATCTGATCACCCTAATATCTGTTCAAATTCCTTACCCCCTACCCTATAAGAACTTATCACCCTGGCCTGACTTCAGCAAGAATCACAATGAGTTTGTCTGACCTTGATGCTTCCTCTTAGCATTTTCCCAGTCACAGACCCCGACCCCGCTCCTTGGTTAGAAACCTCCATATGTGCTTGTTGGGGTGGGAGTGGAGATTTCTCTTCCCCATTAGAAAAACCCCACTGTAGTGGGCCCTCTTGAATAAAGTCTTTACCATCTGTAACAAGTGTGAATAAGTTTTTCATCAAAGAAGATCCTTGTCTACTTGCATCAGTTATACAAAGTTCAAGCACATGAAAATTAAACTAGATCAATTAGTAATACAAATGGATGTGGGAAGTCTATAAAGAAAAGCAGTTTGGAAGAGCAGCTATCTCTGAGGTCAGAGGAAAGAATGTGCAATCAGGAAGGGACATGTAGGGCTCTTTGGAAAGTACGGTAAAAATCAATTTCTTAAGTCAAGTGGTGGATACCCAAGTACTTGCAGCACCATTATTTGATATGTTTTATAAATATTTTATAAATAGTGCTTTATGCCTACTCAATATTTAATAAGAGATAATTCTATAAAAGAATGAGGAACACCAAATGACTGCTAATGAAAAAAGCAAAATTGGTGTACACTGTACCTGAAACTTTTCTGAAAGGTTTTCATTTTTCCAAAATAAAAATTTGGAGGAAAAAATGACTCTCACAGTAAATCTATGCTAAACTGTAAATCTTACTCTGATTTCAAAAACACTAAAATGCAAACAACAGACTACATCATCAGGGAGGCGTCGGTGCGTTAGGAACACAGGAGGCGGCGCTCTGGCTGCCTGAGATAATTTAGTTCCTGCTCAACCACTAGCAAATTAGGACCTCAAACAAATCAAGAGATTACATAGCCTTAACATATCTAATTTTAAAAGGACATTGAACAAACTTTTTAAAATCCTCACCTGAGGGCATGCATCTTGATAATAAAGAAAGGGGAAGGAAGGGAGAGAGAGAAAGAGAAACATCAGCGTGAGAGAAACACTGACTGGCTGCCTTCCACACACATCCCAACTGAGGACTGAGCCCGCAACCTAGGTATGTGCCCCGACTGGGAATCAAACCTGTGACCTTTCAGTTTACAGGATGATGCTCCAATCAACTGGGCTATACCAGCCAGGGCTTAAGCAAACTTTTTTTCACGGTATTCTTGTAGGCAAAGAAAGGAAATGTATACCTGGCAAAACAGTGTGGTTAAGTGGAACATTCAGATAAGTAGGTGAATAATCTACCAAATGTCTTCCATTTGTCTTTCCAAATCCACTCTTCACTAACCATTTCCCTGCCTAGAGGTTGACCTGTTACATGGTCTATCGACAGGGCTCCCTTACCTTCTGCCTTCAGCTCAGTTCAGCCAGTGAGGAGCTCAGACAAGATCAGAGAGAGAGAGAAGAAAGCAGAGAGCCAGGCTACCACCTGCTGTCAGGTCACCCTGGGTTGGCTGTAGCCCTAGACCAAAGGTCACCATGTCTCATTAAGATACTAACTATATGACTCTCACTCCCAGCTCCAGTGAGTGACCCCAGCTTCCCAGTCCTCCTTCAGGTCTAGAGCTGGCCCTGGTTATCCGTTACCTTCACTATCCCTAGTGATTTAAAGGACACATGAAAGGATGAAAGGACGGAAGGACAGAAGGGTGAATGGATGAAAATAAAGGGCCAAAACGGTTCCTTTGGCTCAGCTTCCCCTGCTCTTGCATACATGTGCCTATTTCCTCAAGACCATCAGGACACAAGAGGACAAGCTGTGCAGACTGCCAAGCTTGTTAGAGGATGTGGAACACAGAGCAGACAGGCAGCCTGGGACCCCTTCTGAGTGACAGAGCAAGTTGGGCCTTACTCTGTGGTGCCAACAGCCACAGGGAAAGCCCCAGATGACCATTCTTTTCTTCCCTCTCCCACTCAATTCTATAGATTTTTCCGAATTTTGAAGATTTGTGTTTCTGGTCAACCTTATTTTTATATTGTTCCCTGGGTAGATACACCTGGCCTGAGGAAGGAAATGGTCATAAAAATCATCAAAAATTTATAGTTACCCATATATGGTCACTCAGTGAAGGCGGAACCAGGAGACACTTTATATCCATCATCTTTCCCCACCACTGCTTCCTAACATGTCCTAAGTATAGGCACTATATTATCCTGACCTTATCAGACTTAGACGTGACGTCTGCTGTTGCTTTGCTCATTCTCTCTATTCTGAATAACCCTGCTCTCTTACAAATTCTTCCAGAGAGGATAATGAATTCCATTAATATTAAATTAATATCTCTCTGCCTTCTTCCCCCGAGTTAAAAGACTAACCTATAAATATAGTGTTTGATTGACATTTAAAACGATCTTTCACTGTTTCTGTAGCAGGATTCCCCCTAAGGTAACTGAGGTTAGAAAAAGTTTTGAATGATGCAGCTATGGTTCTACCTGAATCAAACAGCAGCACCTCATGCTTTGCTCTAACTGCCACAGATTAAAGCTGGGTAATGACTATCTGACACTACAGGCTTAATTCAGGTAACTTCAAAGGCTTGCTGGCATTTAAGAATTTAAAACACTAAATGTTTTATACTGTCCTATTCACTGAATATTAATTCCAGTGAATTTTAAGTTTCATATTTCATATATTTGAAAGGAGTGAATACTTTGTAATTACTTTTAAGACTATCACTCAAATCACATTATAAAGGTACAGAAGAGTGGATATTCACTTGGGTGAATCTTTTTTTTTAACTTTCTTTGTCTTACATTTCCTTTTCACATGTTTTGATCTCCTTTCTCTGAATTTGCAGGTGATTCAGCATTAGAGTCTATGTTATAAATTGCAATTCTTTGTTGTTCTGGAATAAATCCATTTTGCTGAAGAACTATCTGGCTGTCTGTTTAAGATCAACAAATACTCCCAGTCTATCTCTAAAATTGCATCTTGAGCCAATCTCCCACTTACTTTGTCCGAGCAACAGTTTTTTCAAATGTATTTCAAGTTCTCCAAAGCCAAGGAGAAATAAATTTGTGTGACCTTTTGTTTGGGATTATGCAGAGCAAGGCTCCTTTCAGCTTGCACGGACACAGTGTGACTCTAACTATAATATAGTCAGATTTCTGTGATCTTAGAACTGGGTGCCTGGCTTTCTCCAATTTACCCCACATTTACATCCCCCCATGTATGTATGTTTCTACTCATCAGAAAAAGGCCCCAAATCCACCAAACAACAACCAACATAGTTTCTAAAATAAAGAATGATCACCTCCTGGAAGGAAGGAAGGTACATACTAAAACAATAGGAGGCGCAATAAGATGCATTATCCTTTTAACCTTCTGTCCTGTGATTTACAGCCCACTCCTCCCCCCAAAACCAAAAGGCCAGGGTAACAAAAAGACTATGACAAAGCAATAATTTTTGAAACGGGCAAGTTAACATAAGATGAAAAAAAAAAAGGCGGGGGGGATCTCATTTAGACTCTTGTATTTAGAACAGAGGGCAGTACATAAATACTTGTTGATCTGATTTGTGATGATGGAAAGTTGAATATCAGTTCAAATGGGCCCACAAGTCAATATTTGTAATTTAATAGGAAGAAATGGAAGCCAGATTCCCTGCCCTCGAAAATACCAAAATATCTACAATTGCCATGTGATATACTTACTGGCATCATCCATGAACTCAAAGTCACCTCCCAGTTCAGAACTTGAAAAGTGGTACTGATCTGGATCAGCCAGGGCGCTCAACAGAATCAACAGCACCACGACATTGAGGATCTACATACAACAAGAAAGAGAAAAACGTTAAGTAACATACTCGGCATACAGTTCCTATAAAACATTCCCATGGCAGACACCATGCCAGTCCATTCAGATGAAGTCAAGGGCACATGGCTCAGTGCCCAGGCGATACATGGATTTCACCTCACTGCTCACATAGCTGGCACCCTACTGCAGTGAACAACCAGCATAAACATATGCTGCAGCAGCCAGTGGCTGGAAAAGCACAAAATCTTTTAAGCAGTAAGCCACATACACTAATGATCAACTCCAAGTTTTTGCAGGTAATAAAACATTTTCACAAGCTGAGACAATCAGCAGTTTGGGACCATCTATAAAACAGTACCAGAAAATGAATGCCAAACTTAGTGGCAGAGCCAGAATCCTTAATCCTGCAGGAGCACACACAAGCCCCTTTCTGTCCTGGGCCCAAAATTCTTCCTCCTAAATAGTGCTGAATAAATTTCCCTTGTAAACTTCAAACTCAGCTCATTAGAGTGGAAATCACTGTCCATAGTATCTCCCACTTTGCACTTCTGTTCTCTATCTTAAAAAATAGCATCACCGTTAATAATTAAGCATGGAAAACACTCAGGCACGATGCTTAAAATACTTTATGGGGATCTTCTCTTTTAAGCGCTGCAACAGCCTAAGATAAGTATGTGCTATATTATCCCCATTTTATAGATGAGAAAACTGAGGCTCAGGGGGTCAAGAACGCTGACCAAGATCAGGCAGTCAACAAATTGTAGAAATGGGATTTGAATCCAGAAATTTCAATTCTAAAACATAATCTCTTAAATGTCTTCTGTCTTATTTGAAACCTGATTATCTTTGGGTTCGCCACCTTCCTTGTCCCCTCAATCCAACCAATTCAAAAATCTGACCATTCTACTTCTGCACCTATCTGCCCTTGCTGCGTGCTCTGCACACATACCAACTGCTGCAGGGAAGGTGTTCCAGAGTTAGCTATGGTTTGGGTGGAGACTGGGTTGTTATTTCTCCTTATTTCTAGGTTTATATACTATGAAAAAGCTCTATGTTTCACTATTGTTAAAATGAAGAGAAGAGAGAAATAATCTTCATATGTAGAAGATTCTTTTATTAGCTAAAGAATTACCTACTACAAAAGCCATATTTGGAAACACTTATTTACAATAGAGGTTTAAAGAGTCAAGTTATCTGCTTTACAAAATGTCCACTCTGGAATCCATTTTTAAATGGCAATCCCAAATTGTCAGCACTACCACAGGATTTGGAATAATTTTTTTTCTGCCTCTATCTTCCAAATTGCCTAATATGGTCTAACTGCTTTTTGAAAAAATATAATTATAAAAATGAGAATAGCAATTTCCCAGAGTATACATACATAATGAATTTAAATAGATACAAGTATGTGATTAAAAATTGAGATGCAAAAGGGTATAAAGTGAAAAGCAAACACCCCTTATTCCTTATCCACCAATCACCCTTCCTAGTGTTTCAGAACTATACATTTCTTATTTCTCTCCAAAGATCCTAAAAACTTAGCACATTTTAAAGACTGTGATTACTAAAACTCTTAGCAAAACTCTAGTTACAGAAAACTTTTCAGAACATTTCTAAGGATTAATGAAAGGTACAAGCTAGTACCACAACTGGCACACAACACTTGGGCAACGTTCTCTGAGGAACTGCCGAGTTTTCCTGGCATTTCGTTGCCTCCATACTCTTACCTTTGGAGAAGGCAGTCCAAAAGATGACAGACTGAAATAAGATCAGATGAAATAACCTTGAAACGTGTTTTGAAAAAGTCAAGTACCATACAAAGGCAATGCATTTGTTCTTGTTATAGTAATGGGGTCAATTTTAAGGATGGAAAGGAAAGACACAAATTTGGGATTCATGAAGAGGTGGAGTAAGGAAGGTACAAGAAGACAGAAAGTGAGGAGGTGGTGCAGTAGGTCCAGATTTGGGGATCCCAAAGGGCTAGGTGTGGAGTTCAGATTGTATAACTATAACAAGTCATTGGTGAAGAATATTAAGGAAGAATATGATCTGGTTCGGGTTCAAAGGAGTAAACTACATAAAACACCTAGTAAGGTAACTGGCATATATTATAGCCAGTAGAATTAGTTCCCTTGCCCTGGCTGGTGTGGCTCAGTGAATTGAATGCCAACCTGTGAGCTAAAGGGTCTCTGGTTCGATTCCCAGTGAAAGCACAATCCTGCACTGTGTGCCAGGCCCCCAGTGGGGGGCATGTGAGAGGCAACTACACACTGATGTTTCTCTCCCTCTCTTCTCCCAACCTTTCACCATCAAAAAATAAATAAAATCTTTTAAAAAATTTAGTTCCCTTAGCTCTTCACCTGAACAAGAATCATCTAAAACCTCCTGGCTGGCATCAGAAAATTGCCTGAATCCCAGATCTTCTGAGCCAATGTTATACAGCTGCTTTTCTGTCCCTTCAGTTTCAACACACCCTTCACCTCTTAATCAGCCTGTTTTTATCCCCTTGCCTGACTTACTTATCATAACACATTTACTAATAGCCTACAATAGATCAGGTATTTGCTAAATGCTTGGACTCAGAACTTGAGTTTATACAAGCCACAGACTCAAATAACACAAAGCATAAAGAATGGAAGTTTAGAGGAAGACATTACTTAGCTTATTTTTTGGACTATAAGACCCACTCCACCCCCCAATTTGGGAGGAATAATGGTTGTTAATGCTGCTGTTAAGTTCTGTTCACATTTACATTGGTGAAATACTATGTTATTTATGTTACTAATTATTTTACCACATTTTTTGCTTCAAAATTTTTTTTCCTACTTTCCTCCTCTAAAACCTGTGTGTCTTATGGTGCGAAAAATACGGGTAAATTTGAGGCTGAGACGGGGTTGCTGAGAGGTGCAACTGTGGTAGCATTTGGACAGGGACTAGGAAGAGGAGAAGGTTCTGGAACCCTCAGAGGCATGGAAAAGAACAAGTTCCAATATGAGTAAGGCCACTGGGACAGGGCCCCGTACTGAAAATAGCAATTAATTCAATTTGGTTGGAACACAGTATAAGGAGGGAAGTTGATAGGGGATGAAACTAGAAGTGCAGGCTGGGCCAGATGGTGGCAGGTCCTCAAAACCAGGATAAAAATGTGGACTTTATTCAAATAGTTCATGAAGAGGCCTAAAAGGTTTTTGAGGGGTGATATCACATGATCAGAGCTACAGCACTAGGAAGTTAGGCTGGAAAGAGGCCGGGAGGCTAAAATGGGTACAGGAAACCAATCTGGAGACTACTGCAATAGTCTGGCCGGGACCTAGTAAGGGTTTTATCCACTTGTCTCTAATTCTCATGCCAACCCTGTAAGACTGTCATCTTACAGGTTAGCTTGAGAGGCTAAGTGACTTTGTTAGGTCCTATGTGTGGAAGGGACAAAAAAGCCATGGTTTGAACCTCAAGGACTTTTCACAAGGAGGCAGAATTTAATTAGAGACTTAGAAAGTGACTAGAGGCAAAAATAAAAAGCAAACATGGCTCTGAGATTTCAAGCCTGGGTGACAATATATAGCTTGTCGTTATAAGAAATAGGAAGATCACTTGAAGGACTATGACAAGGCTGATTTTAGATACAAAGTACTGAAAAGTCCTTGCAGAAGTCCAAATAATCCTACTTGTAGCTTGTCCATCTACCCTCTAATCCTCTTTGCATTCAATCTTTGGTATGCAGGCCTGCCCTCTGTTTTTCTGTTTGCCTGCTCAAGTTCTGACAGCCTGATTGATATCTAGTGTTGTGTACATTCCTGCTCTCTCCAGCTCAGTCTCCAAATACATCACATCATTCCTGACAACACTGTTCTTCCTACAGGGACTTGGCTGTGCCCTACCTACTCCAGTTAACTACCATCTGTTCCAGTACCTCTAGCCCTACTGCCTTTCTCTCTGTCATCACAAGCCACAGATCACAGTCCTGGGGCCAAGTCTCCTTCCAGGTCCCCTATTCTTCATGAGCCAGTCCAGAGAAAGAAGACATATAAAAAGAAGATGTGGGCCCTGACTGGTGTAGCTCAGTGGACTGAGCGTGGGCTGTGAACCAAAGGGTTGCCAGTTCAATTCCCAGTCAGGGCACATGCCTGGGTTTTGGGCCGGGTCCCTACTGGGGGCCACGTGAGAAGCAACCACACATTGAGGTCTCTCTCCCTCTCCCTCCCTTCCCTTCTGTCTAAAAATAAATTAATTAAATCTTTTTTTTTTTTTTTAATAAAAAAGATGATGTGGCCCTGGCTGGTATGGCTCAGCAGATTGAGCACTGGCCTGCAAACCAAAGAAAGGGTCACCGGTGTAATTCCTAGTCAGGGCACATGCCTGGGTTGCGGGCCAGGTCCCCAGTAGGGGGCGTGCAGGAGGCAAGGACACATTGATATTTCTTTCTCCCTTCCCTTACACCTCTATAAACAAACAAACAAACAAACAAACAAAGAAGATGTGACAATAAGGTCGTTACATGGCACAAATGACTCACCACTGTACTCCTTTAATCACAGACTACTTCACAACAGAAGGTGTGTGTTGACACATACATACTGCATAATTATGTAAACCCCAATTGTCGGATGGGAATTTGGTACAGCATAGATGATGTGAATGCTGTAGGGTAACAGAGTGATCCATGAGGACCTAGGTCTGTGCAAAGAAGTGGGGGATAGGATGGTGATGGTAACAACTAAACATAGTCAGATGGAAAAGGTCAAATACAAGTCAAAGTCCCACAAACACTGGAGACTGAAGTACTTCTCAAGAGAGAGAAACTGAAAATCATCCATTCTAAGAATGAAACATCATCACAAATGAGAACTAAGAAGATGGTAAGATTTGCCAGAAGCAGATTATGTAATGACCACTGCTAATATAAAGCAAGAAAGAGCATTATTTATTTTCTCACTCAATTAATGCTCACTCACATCTGGACTTTCTTCATCTGTTTTGGTAGGTTATGTACAAACTATTCCTCCTATTCT